AATTTAAATCTCCTGTAGGTACCAGCTGGCTGTGACCCAGGAGAAGGAGGAGGAGCCCAGAGCACCAGCACCTACAACTTGAACGACCCTTGGACACCCACCGTGGGCTTCGCTGACTTCATCAACGTCGAGACCATTGCAGGGCAACACAGTTAGGGCGAAGTGGCAGGAGCAAGGATGGGCCGCTTCGCCTCCTCCCAAGCTGGGGTCCTCCAGGGTCTTTAGAACATACTAAGAAATGAAGTTTTATGATATCACATTTTTCCTGGGTTAGTCAGTGGAGTCCTTACATACAAGGCTACTGTCAGAGGCACGCATGTCCTTAGCAGAGCCAGGCCTCACGATCCCCTTCCTTCTGCCCTGCTAGGACTTGGTGACCTGGGTGACAGCTGGTTTCCTGCACATCTCACATGCAGAGGACGTTTCCAACACGGTGACTGCGGGGAACAGTGTGGGCTTCTTCCTCAGACCCTACAACTTCTTTGACCAGGACCCCTCCTTCGATTCTGCTGACTCCATCTACTTCCGGGCGGGCCAGGATGCTGCACCCCCTGGCTGGCCTCCCCAAGGCTGCCGACTGTGCCCCCGACCTCCCTGCCTTCTCTCATGGGGGCTTCTCTCACAACTAGGTGGTCCCTGGGATGGGGACTGTGTCCAGGGCCAGGGCGTGTGGGAGCAGTAGGTGGGTACTGAGCCAGGAGGCCTGGTCTCACTCTAAGATCCTCTCCTCCCCTGCCCCCAAGGTCCTCTCTCTCATCACCCTCCTTTGCAACCCCGTCCTTACTGGGAGCATCCTGAACCTGTGATGCATGATACAGGGGGGACTCAGCCTTGTTGTCCCGAGACCTGCTGGGTTTCTGTCCCAGATGGGAGAGGGATGGCCAGCCGGAGCTGGAGAGATGACCAAGATTTTTCCCAGAAGACTTTTTTCCTAACAGTTTTTAAATGTTATTTTTTTACAATGAGATATTATTCACATGCCATAAAATTCAGGTCTTTAATATGTATAATTTACTGGCCATTAATTACAGAACATTTCCCTCACCCCAGGAAGAAACCCCATACCTGTTAGCCATCACTTCCTATTTCCCTTCAATCCCTTCCCGGCTCTAGGCAACCACCGCGCTTTCTGTCACTATAAATTTGCCTATTTTCTGGAAATCTCATATAAATGTATCTATATACCATGTGGTCCTTTGTGATTGGCTTCTTTCAGCATAATGTTTTTGAGGTGCATCCATTATGTAGCCTGAAACAGTACTTCAATCCCATATGGCTGAACAGTAATCCATTGTATGAATGTTACCACATTTTGTTTATCCATTTATCAATTGAAGGACATTTGGACTGTTTCCACTTTTTGGTTATTATGGATAATGCTGCTGTGAACATTCTTGTACAAGTTTTCATATGGACACATGTTTTCAATTCTCTTGGGTATCTGGGAGTGGAATTTCTAGGTTTTATGTTTAGCCATTTGAAGAACTGCCAGGCTATTTTTTCTTAAAGATTGTATTTATTTTTAGAGAGAGGGGAAGGGAGGGAGACAGAGAGGGAAACATGGGTGTGAGAGATGTTGATCGGTTGCTTCTCACGCACCCCCAACTGGAGGCCTGGCCCACAACCCAGGCATGTGCCCTGACTGGGAATCGAACCAGCAACCTTTTGGTTTGCAAGCTTGTGCTCCATCCACTGAGCCACACCAGCCAGGGCTGCCAGACTGTTTTCCAGAGTGACTGCACCATGTTTTTTATGGTGGTTAAAACATACATAAAATTTACCACTGGACCATTTTTAAATGGACAGGTCAGTGGCATTGGGCACATTCAGAACCCTTCTGGGGCCTGCTCAGCTCCTCCTCTGTCCTGGGTCTCAAATATGAAGGTAAGGCCTCTAGAGACCAACCGTTTTCTCAGGCCCCAGGGTAGAGTCCCTTCCTGGCCTGTATCCCATCCCTGGCTCTTGGGAAGGTGCTTCTCTGTCTTCATTCCATGTCATCTTAGCACATTCCCCCTCTGTTCCTTCTTCCTTCTCTTCCTCTTGTTACTTCAGCCTCTACTCCCTGGTCTTCCTTCTGAGGTCCCTGGGGGGATGTCCCCGCTGCCCAGGTCGTGTATGTCTCCCCCATCCCTCAGCTCCGGTGCCCTCCTCTGTGCCCGGGCTGGGGGGGCCTTGGGCGTGCAGGGGGCTGTCTCGTGGGAAGGAAAGACAATCCCTGGTTGTTTCCTTGAGGGAGTCACTTGTCTCTGGGCAGCTTTCCTCATCTTGTCTCTCTGCCTCTCACTACCTGAACACAAATGTTCCTCCTGTCACCTTGTCATCTGTGTACACTGCCAAATAATCTTCTTTCCAGTTCCTGCCCTTTACACAGATTATGTGGAGTGTGCTTTTGGGAATGGGTAATATGGTCAAATGACAGCAGCGATTTAGGGAGTTTTGTGGGTGAAACGTTAAGGAAACGTTAGGTGACAGTGGCGACCATTACTGTGCAGCAGTCAGGATAGATGATCAGAATGTTACTGAGTGTAGGAACCAAAGAGCCTTGGGAACTCAGGCAACCAGGCCAGGAGTGGCCTGATCTTGGGCGGGCGGGGGGGTCGGGGGAGAGCGGGCGGCAGGGCACGTGCATGAGCTCGGAGCGTCCCAGTAGGGACCGGCCTGGCCTGATCAGGCCACAGACTCCAGGACCTCATGTCGCTGCCGTTCCTCCTGGGGTGTGGACTTTGAATAAGAACTGGGGTATTTTCCAGGAAGGGATGCGGGGGCAAGAGTAAGTGGGAGGATGTAGGGCTCAAAGAGCGAGCTTTGTCAGCTGCCTCCAGGCCAGAGAAACCCACATGATACACAGCGTCCACAGCTCCGCTTCCACATCTTGCCCACTTCCCTCAGTGTCCTTTCTAGAAGGGGAGGCCTTGAGGTCAGGAAGGGGGGTCTCCTTTCCCAGGCCACTGATCCAGCTGTAGGGGAGGGCATTGATTGGGCCGACCCTGGGGTCTTCGGGGCACAGAGATTTGGGTCTAACTCAGCTTGTTACCGGAGAGCAATGGCACACGGGGAGCTCAGATTCCACGGAAGTCCTGGCGGTCCCTCACGAGCTGCCTGCACTCCAGCTTCAACCAGGTGAGCTGGAAAGAAAGGAAGTTCTTCTGGCAAAGGGATCTTTGAACAAAGATTAAACACCGTGGGTGCCTTGATCTTGATTCAAGAATAATAGCAGGATATGCTGACAGGTGCTCAGACAGGGAAGGGTTAAGGCAGGGCTGGTTTGCTGTTGCTGGTCCTTCTTTCCTTTCAGCTTTTTGGATCAGAGATTTAGTTTCTCTTTACCCTCTCAACCCAAACAAATGCCATGTTTTGACTTCCTTGTCTTTCCTTGTTTAAAGAAATTTGTACCACGGGGGTGAAAATGATCCCAAAACAGACACTGTGGAGGAACCAAGGATCCTTTTCCTGGCTGTTCCACCTCTGCTGCTCCAGGTGCAGGAATCGGGGGAGGGCACCTGTGTCCCTAGGTTGTGTGGCGGACTCTGGCCACCTGCCAGCCAGTGACGTATGCAAGGGGCTCCCCAGTGGGGCCAGAGGGCACAGCTTGAGCTGCCCCAAGGGAGGATGTGCGCAGAGAGCCCCGTTGGAAGGCTCTCCTGGGAACGTCCCTTTCCAGCCATGAGAAGGAAGCAACCAGACCCTGAGGAATGCAACCTAGAAAACCAAAGGGTCAGAATAGTAAAGTTCTAGGGGGAATGTGGCAAGTGTGAGGGCACCTTGGGAATGTCGGCCATCCAGGGACCTTGGACATACAGATCCTACTGAAGGAGCCTTGCATCCCCCCCGACCCCTGCAAACACACATGGTACCAGTGTGAGCTCCCCGGACTGGCCTCTCAGTGGTGCCGGCCTCACGTTCCCACACTTGGCCTGTGGCTGATGGGTGACCGCGTTTGCCCCCCTCGGGCTCAGGTGGGTGGGTGTCTGCGTCTATGGCAGCCTTCCTCCTGGCTGCATCCAGTCCCGAGGGGAGAACTCGACTACAGTGTTCTCAGCGGAGCGTGGGTCTCCGACGCCTTCCCACTGCACATTTCTCATGCTCTTGACCTATGTCCATGAGCCAGAACAGGACAGGGGCTCCTCCGTCCTTCAGGACCCCCAAGGAACGTGATGGCTCAGTTTCTCCCACTTCTCCCATTGAAATGGAGCCAGCATGGCGGAGACTATGCTGGGCTAGCTGAGTTTCACCTGTTGCTTCATTGATTCCTCGCAACAATCTTGAAAAGCAGATATTATGAGTCCCGGTCCACAGATGAGGAAACTCAGATTCGCAGGGATTAGGCCACGTGCCCCAAGTCACGCGGCTGGTAAGTGGCGGGGCTGGGGCTGAACTGGGGTCTCTGTGGAATTGTTCCTGACTGCCTTCCCAGCAGCACTGTTCTCCTGCGCTGACCGGCAGGCCCGGTGAAAGAATTCAACAAGGTCACACTCGAGAAGCGTTTGGCACCTGATCCGGGGTAAGTGAACCTCTAAGAGCAAAATCAACATTCAACGGATCAGAGCAAAAATATGCACAATTGCCTTAAAGCAAAAGCTCTCAACCTGAACTGTACCAGCAATCACAGGGGAACTTGTGAAACTCCACGTACTCAGGCGGCACCTCACACCGGTAAATCAGTCTCTGGAGGTGAGGCTTCAGCATTAGCAGAATAAATTTTCCCCAGGTGATTCCAACATGTAGCCAAGGTTGAGAAAACGCTGGGACAGCAGTTTAGTTTCAAACTGTCCAAAGGGGCCTGAGCAGAGAATATAAAATGCATATAGAATATGTTTATCCTGGCTGGGTGGCTCAGCTGGTTGGAGCGTCATCCCATACACCAAAGGGTTGTGGGTTTAATCCTGAGTCGGGACGCATGCCCAGGATGTGGGTTCAATCCTCAGTTGGGGCACATACAGGTGGCAACTGATTGATGTTTCTCTCACATCAATGTTTTTCTCTCTCTCTCTCTCTCCACTACTCCCTCTCTAAAGTCAATAAACATACCCTCAGGTGAGGATTGAAAATAATAACAATAATGTGTCTGTCAGAAGGGACAGAAAAGGGTCATTACAGAGTCTGACCCCGCAATGACAGCCCGACCATGTCCGCCGCAGAGGACCTGGCCCACGGCCAGTACAGGAGCAGCCCCGGAGGCACACTAGCCATGCAGGTGACAGCACCGGACCCAGTCAGACCTATCTCATGACAAACAAACTCGCAACTATCGACAACTGAACCTAGAAAGAACAAAAACAGACACAAACTAAGCAAATGACTAGAACAAGAATAGAATCACCGAAATGGAAGTCACATGGAGGGTTATCAGTGGGGAGGGGGAGAGGGGGAGGATGGGGGACAAGGTACAGGGAATAAGAAGCAAGGTTGGTAGGCACAAAATAGACAGGGGGAGGGTAAGAATAGTATAGGAAATGGAGAAGCCAAAGGACTTATATGTACGATCCATGGACATGAACTAAGAAGGGAAATGCTGGGCGGGGTGGCAGGGCGGGGGCGGGGGGGCCAGTGCAGAGCAGAGGGGGATTAAAGGGGAGGAAAACATGGGACAACTGTAATAGCATAATCAAAAAATACACTTAAAGAAAAAAAACCTATCTCATGACCAGCTGCTGATTCTGATTCATAGCTTGATGGGCCAGTTCCCCGCCACACCTTGGTCATGGGAAAAAGTGGGCCAGTCAGTTATATCTCTTGTGTAAGTGAACCAGTTTGGTATTTTGATAATAATTGCTTTTCCTTGACAGTGACTGTCATTGAGGATTAGCCTTCAGTTGTTACTTTGGGACGTTGAGATATTCCCTGAGAAACAATCTCCCTCAGAGAGCTGATGAATCCAGTTTCTGATTTATGCCCCCGCTCTGATCGTGGGGAAAGCACCAAGAAACCGCCACGAGGGGTCCTAGGGACAGCCAGACTCTCCTGGTAGATCCACACCAGCCTCGCCATGGACTTCACATCTACGTCCTGAACAAACACCCATTGTAAGTGAATTCCCGCCTTCCTCCCCTCCTCCTTCTGTAGTTTTTCCTTGGCCAACTGCCTCTTAAAAATCTTCAGAACTTCTGGCTCTCCAGGGAGCATTAGGTTGTCACAGCCTGTTCACGCCCCCTGCCATCCTGATGCCTTGAACGACAGAGTCGTGACCCCATGCCCTCCCCCAAACAGGCTGTCCCCATCCATTCGCGCCTATGCCTACGCTCTTCCTCCGTCCTTCCTCTGGTTCCTTCTTCTCTCCCTTCCCTCCCTCCTTATCTGGTGATGCCTTATTCATCTTCTAAAACCCAATTCAAATATCGCCCCCCACCTTTCTCTGCTCATTGCGTTGTTCTCCCTGCTCTGTTAGTACTTTAAACAAAACTCTACAGCGGAAGTTCACACACCGAACTCTAGTTCATTGTCTACACGTCCCCCCTCCCCTACCCCCGTTCCTCATCACAGAACATGAGCTCCCTGGGACAAGAACCATGTCCTCGGCTGCCCAGCATGGTGTCACACCCATTATAAGTGCTTAAATACATCTTTATTGAAATCCGAAATAAAAACAATTAACAGTTGTCAGAGTCCAGTAAGTTTTTGCCTTGTAAAAAGCCATCTCATATCCAGTCTCTCCTTTGACTACCTCTAAAGAGGAGACTGAAGAACGTCCAGAGATCCTCCATGAAAAATCCCCCTGGCTGCACGGGTCAGGCCAGGACACGGGTCAGAGGGCTGTGCTGACACGCTGAGCCCCAGCAACTCCTCCCCAGGTGACCCCGGCGCAGCTGGAATCAGCAGCCCAGCAAAGGTTGCAGGAAGGAGAAAATGGGACAGACAGGCAGCTGGTCTGTAAATCAGTTCCCCATCCCTGGCTTTTCCTAAAACCAGCAGGAGGGGCCCAGAGCCCGGGACAAAACTAAGAGGACATGGTTGGGCGAGTCTGAAGCACCAGCTGGGCATTGGACCCCAAAATGCTACAGAACTTGGCATGCATGTGAGGAAGGGTGTTTCTGAGGCAGGAGCTCCATGAGTCAATGTTTTCCTCACTCTGCAATGTGGTGCAGAGGTTTACCCTGTGGCTGCTGGAGCCAGATTCTGGGCTTTTGAGGCCTGGCAAATGTGACCTTGGGCAACTTATTTTGCTTCTCTGGGTCTCATCCTCATCACCTGTAAAACGGGGGCACAATTTTTATGAGGGTTAAATGAGTTAATCTGTATAGTTTTTCAAGACTAGTTCTTGCAGTATAGTAAATGCTCAATGAATACTAGCTATTATTTAATCTTTTATTAACCAGCATCTACTGGGTATTTCAGTTACTGCATAAAAAATCACCCTGAAAAATAGTGGCTGAACCCATCAGACACCATTTTATCTGGTCATTATCCTGTAGGTCGGCCCTCTGAGCTGGACTCAGCCGGACAGTCCTTCTGCCTGAGTCGCCTGGAACCTCTGTCATGGCTGCAGCTCCCTGGCACGGAGACTAGGGCTGGACGGCCTAAGACGCCTCGCTCGCACCTGGCAGCTGGGGCTGGCAAAGGTTGAAGACATGGACAAAAGATTAAAGAAAAAGAAGGATGAGAAAAGGCCAAGAAGCAGGTTTGACAGTGAGAAGGTCACCATGACTTCCCAGAAGAGCAGAGGCGGCTGCGGTTGCGCAGGGAGCATCCTGCTCTCCGACATTCAAGGTTGGAGAGATCTCCAGGGCTTGACATGATCCTGAGGCTGCCCTCCTTCCACTTCAAACCTGTTAAAGCGAAGAAAATCTTTCAAATCTTCAAAATAAAACAAACACTGACTTTCCTTCCTACCCTAAAGGGGAGAGGCGTGCTAGATTCTCCTCGCCCTTCTCAGCGTCTCTCCCACCGGCTGGCTGGCCATCGGGCCCCGTCAGGACTCGCATCCAAGGGAGACAAGCGTCGGTGGACAGACTGCTATTTACTCCCTAGCATAGCCCTGCTGTGTTTTCATAGCTCAGAATAGTTCCTTGGACCTCTCCAGGCCTGAGGGGGGTGGCTGGGGGGGACCTCACTGTTTGTTTTCATGACAATTCCAGGCCTCACCTCTTCCTCTTTCTCTGCATCATGATCCTCATTTGGGAACCCTCAGAAGGGGTAGGTTGTGGGTTAAGAGGGTCCAAGACTACTAATTTCCTAATTATGCTCCCCAACTGGGTTCCAGAAGACAGAAGGACAATAACTGACTGTACAACATGGGCATTTTGGTTGGGATAAAAATTCCACAGCTCTTAAAGAAAGAGTTGATTAAAGGACTACAGGGCGGAGCTGGGGGGAGGGGGAAGGGGGAAAGAGGGGGTGGGAGGGGGGAAAGATGGCCGCCTCCCTGATCGGGATCCTGGCTGGGTGCCGGGCTCTCCATAGGGGGCTGACTTCTGACTGAGAGTGGGGGATGGGGAGGCTTTCTGACTGGGCGCACCTCAGGCCCCGGCTGTGTTCTGGCAGCGCCACTGCTTGGGAGGTGCCCCGAGGTGAGAGGAAGAATTGACTTCACTGGATACTCTTTCGAATTCTGAATTTTTTTCAGCCATGGGAATACATTACTTTTGGACATATTTTAATTAAGAAATATGAGCACCCCTTTTTTTTTTCTGGCCATAATGAATCATTTACTTCTGTTAAGTCACTAAAAGTCAGGCACCACCTCACTGGAGCTACTTTCAAAGGAGCTCCCCAAGTCAGAAAATGTTAGAAAGGAGCGAGAGAGTCACCAAGCCTCCTCATACAGCTGACAAAAGTAAAATCCAGAGAACTCTAGTGACTTAACCAAGATCACGTGACGCTTTCTCTTCCTATTTATTCTATCTCTTTTTACATTATAAGCCCTAGCGATGGCGGTGTGGGACAGGTCTCCTGGGCTGCCTGCTGGAAGCTTGAGGATGTTTTCTGAGGGTCTTCTACGGAAAAACCCACTCAGCTTTTACGCCCCACCCATCCCTAGTCCCTACCGTGTTCCACACCCGACCAGGCGGAGCTATGCCTGAGTGAGTGATGGCATACGCCCTCCCCTTTTTCTTTAGTTGGCCCCAATCCTTTCCAAGACTCCGTGAGACGAGCGAGGAGGAACAGCAGTCTGGGGCTAGGCCTTCCGCTCACACCTCCCATCTCTCCTCAGACAGCCCCTCTTTGCCCCTTGGGTACAGACCAGGAACAGCTTTTGCCAAACAGTCCCCACCGTTATCTTAGAGGCTTACTATCCTTGACCGTCTCTGCTGTGCACCATCAACCAAGTTCAACTCTTGGCTGAAAGGATCAAACTCGACAGCAAGGATGTCTCCTGGCTGCCAGGGTGGGTTGGCACCACCAAAGCATTGATTGGGAGTTGAGGAAGTATCACCATCTGGTCATTAGGGAACCGGTTGGCCATTTGTGGGAACAGGATATTCTCCGGGGGGAACAACAGCTTCTTTGAGGAGGGGGAGAGGAAGGTCAGTCTGCGGTCTGAATTCCGTAAAGATTCCAATGATTCATTTTAATTTCAGTAGAAAGCAAACCCCGCAGTGGCAGGAGGAAGGCAGTGAGCAGGGAGCTCAACTGTTTACAATGAAGCTAATGTCCTCTGCTATTTTTCTGTGGACAGAATGTCCAGCCCATCCTGAGACAGAGAGCACGCTCCCCGCACCTGGTCAATAAGTGCACGGTTCAAGGTCCTGAAGCTGAACTTTTCTCACCGTGCCGGAGATAAGTCAGCCATTTTCACTGGCTAACAATGATTAATCTGCCTGCCCCTTCACCTGCTTTCCCCAACATATTTTTTTTGGAAAAAAAATGGAACAGGGTCGCTCACTTACAAGGTGACAGCAGTTGAGCTAGCCAGTCTCGACTGTCTACCCCCAAATACCTCCCCCACTGATCAACTGGTGGGGAGGGAAAAAAGCACTTAAAAAGAAATAAACAGCAACAAAAAAGCTGTACATCTCTCAGTTTGAGTTGTAACCCTTTGGAGAAACCTCCCTCGCTGCTCAGACAAAGCTTTGGTTTGAAGTTGGGATTCGTGTCCCTGAATCGATGTCCAGATAAGACCCATTCTAGTGACCATGGCTGAGTGGGAAGGCAGCTCCTCTCTCAACAGAACCCAGAGCCCCAGCCAGAATAGAGGGTTTGGCTGTAGGTAATGTCAGACTTTATTTTGGGTAATAAAAGCAATTTTTGGATGAGATGTGTGGTAAATTATGACTCCTTCCCCTCTTTGCTTCCCTGTCGGCAAATAAACTTGTTTGAGTGAATGAGTCAACCTTCGTCTGGGAGGAGAAGGGGCCAGGGCGCTGGAACCAGCTGAGCTTATTTAACAGCAGACCAGACTGTGCTGTCTGGCACCTTCCCTTCACGTTCTTCCCAAACCAAGATCCCCAAGCCTCTGGCTTTCTGTTTGCGGAGAAAGTGCCCGAGGAATGCCCCGCTGGTGTTCCTGCTGAGGGGCCCACGTAACTTTCCATCCAGAAACTCAGCTGATCATTTTCCCAGAGGCCATCAGTAAGTCTTGAGTCATCACCACCAGGGACAAAATAATAGAGAGCTCACTGATAGGTACACGTATGGATTCAGTTTCAACGTAAAGGTCCCCCAATCGACACGTTCAGTTGTGTCAATGCCCCAACGGAGTGTGAAGGTCCCAGAAGACAACCAAGATTTAACCTGGAATTCCTCAGAGGGCCAGGCATGGGGCTTTGCTCAGGGATCGTTTGTTGAATTAAACTGGAGAACTTTTTGAGAGGGAAGATGACAGGAGTGAGAAGGAGGTGATGGAATGCCCTCTCCGGAGAGAGTTCTTTAAATAAGTGATTTCTCATGGAAACCTTCGGCAACTCAAATACCTCATCCACATTGTCCACCTCAAATACCCACAAGTCCTTTGAGCAGTGGAAGGCTCCACAGTTTCTCTCTTCAGTCAGCTTTCTAGCAGGTTCGGGTCTTTGGGGGCCTCACCTCACTCTGCACCTTATAAAAATGTTCTGGAGGCAGCAGGAAGGGCCTGGAAGTAGAAAGGTGGAAACCAGCCAAGCATCTCCTGATGATACATAATTGCTCAGACCCAGAGGGTCCCCTTGCCTGCGGGGGGGTGGGGCTCGTCCTCTGCCCTGGGGGCAGATATCGGCTCCAGCAGGACCCCTTATCCACATGAGCATTCTCCCCAAGGTTCCTCCAAAAGACAGGGCTCTCCTCTGCCCCACCCCCATATGCTGAGCACATGATGGAACCCCACCTCACTCAGAGATCTTAGCAGCCCTGTGGAGCACAAGATAGTGGCCTTTCAGTCTTTTGTGAGAGTATCTGCCCTATGTGTCCTCACCTCACCTCACACCATAGACATTCCAGTCGGCAGGGATCACAACAGTAGTTACTCAATACTTTCGAGGAAGGCTTATCTGGGTGGAGGGAAGAGGCCATCTCGTCTAGTGGGGCCCACTGCCTGTGGCCTAGCAGTCCTGAGAACACAGAGCACCCTTCCCCACAACCCTGCCACGTTCATATTTTATTTGCCACCCACCCACAGCCGCCGCCACCATTACCAGCTCTCCAGGCTGGGCGTGGTTAGATAGGGCTGCTTAGACCAGCAGGCACAGTGTGGTCAAGGGCAGTTGGAGTCTGCTTGAGGTGGGTGGGAGCCCATGAGACTGGGGATAAAATACCAGACCATACCTCCTGGATGGTGCTTTAATCATTTCCAGCATGGGATGTTGTCTACCTCTGCTGCAGACTCATTAGCTCTGAGCTCCTTTTCCCTGTCCCCATCTTACCCCTTACAAGGCAGTGTGGACTTCCTAGTGGGAAATTCAGGTGGACTTTTTACAGTTTTATCCCCACTAGCCCTTATCCTAGAGAACGTGCCTCAGTTCATCGCCTGATTCGGCCCCGGTTTCCTTCCGAGTCCTGGCGGACGCAGGCGAGGGGTCTCAGCGCTTCACTGCTGCAGGACGATTTCGCTTGTGCGGTGAGAAGGCAGCATGGCTTCCCATGACTGGCCATTTGTTACTTTTATTTATTCCTTGACTATATCCATGGCTACAATAAAATTGTATTGACTTCCTGGTGGATAGATCTATCTCCAAGTACAAAGGAAAGAAAGATCAAACTATAGAAGCCCCTTCCAGGGTCCACAGTCACTAATTTGCTGGTGTTTTTATTTGGAACTACATATTCATCACACTGTTTTTGCATGAACGGACATTCATTTTATTGCTTAAACGTATGTGTTAAAACCACACGGGGCCTAACTTTAAGGACATTAAATGAATTAATTAATCAGTGTATTCCAAGATCATTATTTTCTATCCCTAAGCTACGGAATCATACGGGTGTGAGCCCCGAAGCAGAAGTATTTCCTAGACCTAATGCAGTTAAGAAAGGCCCAGCAAGGTGAATGTACCCAGTACAATAGAATTTCCTGTCTTCTAAATTAAGAACTTAAAACTTGATTTGTTAGACTTTTCTTTGTCCCCAAATAAGTGCAGTTGCAGGCTCGGGAAATCAGGCATCTTTGCAAGAAGCTAAGTGATTTAGACTCTGTCCTGTGTTCTGGGCTGGCTTTCAGAGCCCAGAGGGCAGCCCCCGGCCCTGGCGAGCAGCGTGCCAAAGTTAATCATTGGCCCTGCAGAGTACACGGCCGGTCGGGCTGTTTTTCTGTGCCTGTTTTTCTATTTTACGTAAATCACCCTGAGCATATTTGTATCAACCTACTGATGATGCACCTTTGATCAGTAGATTTCAGACAAAAGTGGTTTTTGAGTCCAAAGATCAGGGCTGGGTTGACCTGCAGACTGGTTACAGGGTGTATAAAACCGGCAAGACGCAGGCTGATAGCAGAGCTATCACCGCCAAGTCTGTAAGAGCTCGGCTGACGGCTTCCTGAGGGACCAGGGAGTGAGGATGGAGGAAGGCATGAACGTCCTGCACGACTTCGGGATCCAGTCCACACACTACCTCCAGGTGAATTACAAGGACTCCCAGGACTGGTTCATCTTGGTGTCCGTGATCGCAGACCTCAGGAATGCCTTCTATATCCTCTTCCCCATCTGGTTCCACCTCCGAGAAGCTGTGGGCATCAAGCTCCTCTGGGTAGCCGTGATTGGAGACTGGCTCAACCTCATCTTTAAGTGGTGAGTAGGAGCCATCAGAGAGGAGCCTGGCAAGGGAAGAGCCTGGCATGCTTTCTGGAGCTGTCTGTCCGTCGGAAGGTGCCTTCTCCACGCTAATCCGAAAGCCACGGGTCACTCCCCTCTTGACTTTCAATCAGCTGCACAAAGAGAGAAGACAGAAAACCCTGTCAGGGAGTTGAAGATACAGGAAAGGCTATTGTTATATGGATGGAAGGTCAGCAGGACTTAGTGAAAAGTCTGAACTACAGGCTACAGGCAAAGAAACACAGTTTTACCACTTTGCAGCAGAATAGGTATGAAAGAAGGAAACCGATGTATGAAAACAGGGAACACACAGACCATTAAAAAGCCTCCTGTGCGGGCAGTGAGAAGGACCCCAGAGAACGGGGCTGCATCCAGGCTCTGTTCAGCCACCTGCCAGCTGCGTGTCCTGGGCAAGTCAGAGTAACCCTCTGCGTCTGTCTCTGTTTTATAATCTGTGGATTCAGGTTACCCCTGGGACCTCAATAATAATTATAGTTAACATGTATTGAACATTTGTAAGCACCAAGCCGCACGCTAAGTGTTTTTCTGGAGGTAGTTACTATATTGCAGATAAAGAGACTGCACCGAGACCAACACGGGCAGCAAGGGCCAGAGGCAGGATTCAAACACAGGCAGGCGAGCTTCAGGAGCAAAGCACTTAAGAACCACGTCATATCCAGTGCTGATAAACTGACTCTTGGAGTGAGTGGGGAAGAACCCCGATTTTAACTTTTGTCAATTTCTACTGTTTCATATATTCCCACTATAGCCACTTTCAAGCTGCTGATGGGTTCGACTTGCAAAAATACCTGAATATTTTATAATTATCAGTCAGTGCCAAGCTGACTTCAGCACATTACTGGTTCGGCCTCTCTTTCCTCACGTAGAAAATGAGGAGTTGGACTAGTTGCCCTCTACGAGCTTTACTGTCCCTAACGCCACCTATGACTCTTATCAGATGATTCTTAAATCTCTTCCAGCTCTAATATTCTTTGGACATAAACAATAAAAGTCCTTTAGAATAGAAAAAAAAGTATTGGACTCAGAAGCCCAAGTCATATGGATGGGATTCTGAAATTTCTGTTGAAAAATCTACTAAGTTCTGTCTATAACACCTCCTTTTCAATAGCGTGACCCTAAAAAATAAAAAAATATAATTGGATATTCCAAACATCTGATCTCAATTAAAGGATGATGGATTTTCTCTTAATTGGTAGAGGTGCGTTAGTGGCTATCTCTGCTTTTGATGAGCAATCACTATTCCACCACCACGGGGGGTGCGGGGGAGGTATCCAGGCTGACTTCTGACACCTCTTTCCACAGTGAAAAATATATCTAGTCCAACCTGGTCAAGTGGCTTAGCTGGTTAGAACATTGTCCCATACACCAAAAGGTTGCAGGTTCGATCCCCAGTCAGGGCACATACCTAGGATGCAAGTTTCATCCCCGGTCCCGGTGTGTATGGGATACAACAGATTGTTTCTCTCTCTCTCTCTCTCTGTCTGTCTGTCTGTCTCTCTCTCTCATCAATAAGCATATCCTTGGGTAAGATTTTTTCGAATGTTTTCAAGAAAAACATATCTAGTCCTTTTAGAAAGGAAGTGGTTTGTCTGAGATACTCTGTTTCAAAGAAAAGAGGATACAGAGCAAGCACCTGAAGCCTTGTCTGTCCTTACAGAGAGTTATTCTTCCTGAGGCCTGAAGAAAGACTCAGGTAGGACCTGGTAGGATATGCAAGTTCAGGCTGCAAACTCTAGTTCCACATGTGTCCTTCCAGGACAAATTTTTCTTCGACTTTAAAAAAAAGTCACATAGCTGGCTGTCAATGTTGATTTTTGCATCTCAGGTTTATTTATTGTTGTTTGAATAAATAATGCATTCAAATAATCCAAAGTGCAAAAGTCAGATGAAGGAGGTGCTATAAAATATCTCCCTCCCCCATCTTCCCTGTCACCCAGTTCCCCTTCTTGGGGGCGGCCACTCTGCCAGTTTTCTGTTTAGTCTCACACGGATCTGCTCCAGCCCCTCTCCCTTCGCAAAGGCATGGGCTCCTGACTCCAGGGTTCCTCTGGTGGCGCCCTCACCAGTTCTGCTTTTCCGCAGGATTCTCTTCGGGCAGCGCCCATACTGGTGGGTCCTGGACACCGACTACTACAGCAATACCTCCGTGCCACACATAAAGCAGTTCCCAGTCACCTGTGAGACTGGGCCAGGTGAGAGTCCCCCCCTCTATAAAGACAGCAGCTGGGTGGCCCTCGCTCACTGTGGGCCACTATGAACATTTGTTGTGGGTGAAGCTGTCTTTGAGGGGATGTGAGGAAAGCCATTCCTTCGAGCTTTTTCTCGTGGTCTTCAAGGTGGTGCAGTTCCATATTTTAATTGACTTCAAGAAGGCCTTCCTGAACAGTATATTGCCGTTACATTGGAAATCTGCCTAGTGTTTCCAGAACTTTTAATTGCCAATCCAGAGAGGCCAGCACCCTTACGGGCAAAGGGCTCATGAAAGTAAGTGTGTTATGGCCCTTTGCCCAAGAAAGGTTAAGCCCTAGGGACCTGAGGCCCTGGCTGTCCTTCCTAGTGGCCTGGCCTGGCCTGGCCGCTGACTGTCCAAACCCACCCGCTGCCTGTATTTTGCTAGTTATAGCCATACTGGTATTGTTCAATCAAATGACAGGTTTTGTTTTTCAGTAGGTAGTCGGAATATCCATCCCCTTCGCTCACCTGAGGTCTCACTCACCCTTGGGTAGGGTGCTGGCATCCCTTCCTCGGGGACTCTATTCCTGATCCCTAAACAAGGGCATGGGCTGTAGTTATTTGTTATCACAAGCCTTTTGTTCACTTCAGACCATATTCCTTCATTCAGGTGTTATTTATTGAGCACCCACTATGTGCCAAACACTGTTCTAGGAACTTGGAATACCTCAGTGACTAAAACCAAGATCTCTGCCCTTGTAGAACTGATATTTAAATGGTGTGTATGTGCACATACACACACACACAACATACAAAACCATAACACAAATAAAATATATAGAATATTAGAAGATGACCATTTAGAAGAAGGAGGAAGAGGAAGTAGAGAGGAGGAAGAGAAAAGAAAAGGCCAGGTGTTGCCTATGGGGTCCTTAAAAAGCAGACTCAGGTGGAGATCAGCATGCAGGAGTCTAGCTACCATCAGGAGTAGCTCTTACGGGAAGGAATACAGAAGCCAACCAGGAAGAAGGAGAAGTCTAGTTGCAATGCAGCCTCAGCCAACTGCACAGGGAGCTCTGAAATTGGGGGTGACCCCTCTGAGTTGCCTGAATTGGGTCAAGAGGACCAGGCCCTTGTACTCCAATACAGTCCAGTGACTGGGTACAGGCCAGCCCTGGGGAGAAGGTAACTCTGGAGGAAAAGTTGTCCAACCAGAAAGACTAACAATGGCAAGGCCCCGAGGTGGGAATATGTTTAAAGGAAAGCAATGAGGCCAGCGCAAGTGGAGCAGAGGGCACAAGAGGAGTGGAAGAAAGGTACTGAAGGGCAAATCAGCTTGCAATTATTCATCCAGTTCTCTGATGGTTTTGTATAGTCTGTAAACCGTATAAAAGTACAAGAGCTGGGCTTTCTCTGGTTTTGCTCACCACTGTACTCCCAGAGCCTAGCTTAGTGCTGGGCTTGTAATAGGAGCTCAGTAGATACTTGCTCAATGGTGATAAATGAATGGATGTCAAGATGGATGGATGGATGGATGGATGGATGGAGGGATGGATGGATGACACCACCTAGCCGTCTCCCAGATGGAGACCTTCACCTTTAATCCATTCATTCATCTCTCTCCTGCCCTTTAGGGAGTCCCTCCGGCCATGCTATGGGTACGGCAGGTGTATACTATGTGATGGTCACATCCACCCTCTCTATCTTTCGAGGAAAGAAAAAGCCCACTTACAGATTTCGGTAAGAACTCAGCCCTGGGGTATGGGGGGCGGAGAGTGGGAAGTGGCCCTCTCTGTGGCTGACGCACCACCTGCTCCTCCTCACATCCCCCCAGCCCATCCCACACTTGGGGCTGGTACTGATAACAGTTGAGTCATGTCTGCTGAGGGTGAAGATTAGTGTCACAGAGTGCTAGGGCTGGAAGACACCCACAAGGGCACACCCTAATTTTACAGATAAGGAAACAAGCCCTAACGTTGTAAGGGGGCTTCTTGAGATCAAGCAGTGAGGTAGGATTTAAATAAAGACCCATTTCTGTACCAGCCACAGAGTCATACCATCCAGGTTAAAATAAACAGAGAAACATAAGACATTCTTACTACAGGGAATTCTGGGTATGCAGCCACTGCGCAAATCAACTTCTCATACGCAAGGGTTTACCAACAGATGCTCACAGGCATCTTTGAGCTTTTGGGTCCAGGCATTAATTTACAAATATTCCGCTGATGGCATCTAAGTTTGCTGGGCTTCAATGCCCCTGCTGAAGCTGGAAGTGAAATTTCCACAGCGTTCTCTTTGCTGAAGGACCTGCATCGGGGTTCTGTTATGGCTGCCTCTTCTTTTGCAGGTTTTTGAATGTCGTTTTGTGGTTGGGATTCTGGGCCGTGCAGCTGAACGTCTGCCTGTCACGCATCTACCTCGCTGCCCATTTTCCCCATCAGGTTGTAGCCGGAGTCTTGTCAGGTACCTGCTGCTCTGGCTCCTTCCCTCCCTCCCCCGCCTATCCTGCTTCTCCCAAATCAGGGCAAAACCCAGCATTCCGGCCGTGTTCTGTAGCTCTCAGTGCTGACAGAGGTTTAGGGGGTTGAAAGTCAAGTTTAGTGGGTGGGTAATTTCAAATGATTGACTCCTATAGGAGCGCCCAGATCTACACAATTAAGTGTGTTCCAGGAAAGTTGCACTACACCAAATAGCTTATCCAGTTAAATTAGCTTGACGTTTCTGAGGTTTTTATGGTCTTTATTTCTTACTGGTCTTCAGTTGGGAGTGGCCCCTACTTTAATTTTAAGGGACTATACCAAATTTAACAAATTAACACAGTGTCCTAGGAAAGCTCTTCATTTAAATAAACTCATTTGCAAACCAAATAGATACTCACAGTTTGCCCTTTTAATAGGTTCAGGGTTTTGAATATTTGTGTTTTCTTAGATCCAGTTAATAAGGGGCAGAAAAGATTTGGGCTAAGTATAGAAAGACTTTCTTGACTTTGTGGGAGGCATTGGAATATAAAGCTTCAGGGAAATTGTGAATTTTCCCCCTGGAGACCTCAAAGAGCTGAAAACAGTGCTGAGAACTTGAGAGATGACGATTCCATGGCAACCACAGAAGTAACACAGCATTCAGTGCCCTGTTCCGTGTTTGAGAAAGAGCCTGGAATCCAGGTTACAGGAAAGATCTGAGAACGTGTAGGTCAGAGAGGAGGAGCCCTATCTTCAAATGTGTTAAAGGGGCTCTGGATTTACAACTTAACTCCTGTGGAAAGAGCTGAGACTGACAGATGGCATTGGAGGGGGACAGGCTTCATTCAGCTCAGCAAAAGAAAGACCTTTTTATTTATTTTTATTATTAAAGGTTTTTATTTACTTATTTTTTCCAGGGGAAGGGAGGGAGCAAGTGAGGGAGAGAAACATCAATGTGTGGTTGCCTCCGCGCGCCCCTCACTGGGGACCCCACCACAACCCAGCACGTGCCCTGACTGGGAATCGAACCAGCGACCCACTGCTTCGCAGGCTGGCACTTAATCCACTGAGCCACACCAGCCAGGGCAGAAAGACCTTTTCAATAATCAAACCCATTCAAAGATGAAATGGGCTGCCCAAGTGGGAGTGAGCTTTCCAGCCCTGAGGGTATTCAATTAAGGACATGAGGGTCCCCTGACAGGAAACATACCTGAAGTAGGCGTCTGTATGTGACATGACTCTTCCATCTGAAAGAGTCTATGGCTGAGAAAAAGTTGGAGTCACATATGAGAATAAACCAGGTGACCCTCTAGCATTTATGATTTAATGGGTGACAGATGACATGTCACCCGTTGGTTCCCAACCCACCTATAGCTGATGGTCCAGACTCTTTCCTATTTCTCATTGTCATTCTTTCTTCCCCCCAGGCATTGCTGTTGCTGAAACTTTCCGCCACATGCAGAGCATCTACAATGCCAGTCTCAAGAAATACTTTCTCATTACCTTCTTCCTGTTCAGTTTCGCCATTGGATTTTACCTGCTGCTCAAGGGGCTGGGTGTAGACCTCCTGTGGACTCTAGAGAAAGCCAAGAGATGGTGTGAGCGGCCAGAATGGGTCCACATTGACACCACCCCCTTTGCCAGCCTCCTGAAGAACCTGGGGACCCTCTTTGGCCTGGGGCTGGCTCTCAACTCCAGCATGTACAGGGAGAGCTGCAAGGGCAAGCTTAGCAAGTGGTTCCCGTTCCGCCTCAGCTGCATCGTGGCCTCCCTTGTCTTCCTGCACCTCTTTGACTCTTTGAAACCCCCATCCCAAGTCGAGCTGATCTTCTACGTCCTGTCCTTCTGCAAGAGCTTGACAGTGCCCCTGGCATCCGTCAGTCTCATCCCCTACTGCCTCGCCCGGGTCCTGGGCCAGCCAGACAAGAAGTCTTTGTAAAGACTGTGGAGCCTTCAGTATTTAAAGTCAATGACTGTGCCAAGGATTGAGGGCAACTAGCGTCTTCTGCCAGCCCACTCTGGGGCCAGAAGTGCCAGAGTCTGCTAGGGTGACCCGCTTCTGCCTGTGCATTTCTAATTGTATTGGGGGATGTTTTTTGAAAAGCTAATAAGGGTATCTGAGAATACCTTTGTCTGTTAGAAGTTGAGTAGTTCTGGGTTTTTCCCTGAAGCATTTCTTGTTCTGCTGTCAGACATGCAAAAGACAGACTTCCAGGCAGGGACAGCTCGGAATCCCAGGTCGGAAATGCCACGTGAGAATGCTCTACCCGTGCTCATTCTTACCCAGAAAAGGAGAAAAGAGAAGTGGATTTAGTAGGAAAAGAAGGATGGATTAAAGGAGGGGTTTTTTATATCTGGAATATCATTCAAACTATGTCAAACGATACCTAAGTGCCTTTGATTGTACTTAAATCTTCAGATAAGGGACTCTCAATAGTGGGGGACCAACTTAAGGTGTGACTAACAAGGCGTTACTGGGATAATTCTGCATCTTGTATTTTTCTATTATACGCCCATGGTTGTTGTATTTACTGGGATCTCTGAATGGCTGCAGTGGCCAGAACGTTCAGGCAGAGTCAGCTTCTACTCCTTCTCACTGGCTCTTCCTTCTTATTAGCCCAGCTCTGTTTCCCCCAGAATTTCCCACCGTCTCCCCCACCCGCCCTGCTGGATACTCAGATGCCTCAGGTGACTGCGTGGCAGTGCTTTTGTTATGTTTCAGTTACGCTTTAAAATCTGGGGCAAAAGGCAAGAAGAGGCAAGGGTTTCCCGCTCCAGAAAGTCACTCCAATGTTACTTTTGACTCCTGGAGGGTAACCATGACGCCCTTCCCTATCCCAAGTGAACCAAGAGCACATTCTTGGAAGGAAAGTCTCCCTGCCTGTTCTTCAGTCTCAGCTGATTTGCAGAATATGTCCTTAAAAAATGCTGAAGCCTATTTATTTGAGAGTCCTTGTTTTTGCTACTAATTATATAGTTCCCCATATATTATCATTCACACCAACCTTCCTGGTCATAACATCTTTGAAAAGAAAAATACATATGTGCAGTATTTTATTAAAACAACATTTTATTTAAGAATGAAGTCTTGTTGATTACTATGTTTTAGATGCAATGGGATCTGAAGGTTCTAATTCTGGCTCCGCTAAATTTCTAGCTCCTTCTCTATTTCCCTAAACAAATAATTTAGTTTCTGTGTACCTATATTTTCCCTTTGGAGAAAAAAGGTGCTTTATCTTGGGTTGGCCAGCAACCCCACTAGAGTTATGGAGACTTACGAAGTGTCCATGGGGCACAGGTAGAGTTGAGCACATCGACATAGGCACAACATTTATGGCCAAGATTCAACATCAGTTACCAGTCCAAAGGTCAGAATGAGTTGCTCTCGGGGATCAAGCCACAACTTGAGGGCAGACAGGCAGGGTCATTACCAAACTAAGCAGTCAGGGAATGTAAGTTGTAGCAGCAGAACAAGACTAGGCAGACTCTGGAATTCATGACCCTGTGTCCACAAGGTTTGGGGTATAGTTAAAAGAAAGTCTGAACAGGAAAAGTCATAGCACCAAGGAGTGCTGAAGGGAGTTACTATGAGTTTTTCTATTTATTCATGCTGGGTCCAAAGGCCTTGACCCGTCAGCATAGCCCTGGGTCGGCTGGCAGGGAGATCTGCTCACTCACTTCAGCCCTTTGGAACATGTTTCTTTAGGGAAAGTTAAGTCCCCCTCCTGGATTTGGTTTCTTCAGGGGGAACCAGGCCCCTAACAGACTCGGGTGGTTTCGCGAAGGGAGAAGGGAACTGGCCTTATTCTGCCTGAATTGAACCCCACTGCCGAGGCAGGGCCCCCCTCCTTGGTGACTTATTTGTTCCAGGTTCCTTGCAATGGGATCCTGGAAGAAAGTAAATAGTGCCCCTGGACCAAGCAGTTGGTAAGGTTGATAAAGACTCATAACGACAGATAAAATTTATGCATTTTATTTATTTATACAGTTAACTCGATTCTCCCGACATCTCTCTGAGGTGGGTGCTATAATTTATCCTCACACTGAATATGAGTAGACACAGAGGGGTTAAGGATCTTGCCCTGAATGGAGGGGCCAGTTCAAGAGCCAGGAGCCTGACTCCAGAGTCCATGCTTCATCCTCTCCCCGCCTCACCTCTGTACCCCACGATGCCAGTAAGGCTGGCGGCTATAGCAAACCACCCTTCAGATGCCAGATATGATTCTTAATTCAAGCCATGGAAAATTTGATTTCTGTGGGCAAAAGACATTATAAAACTTAGAATAATTTTCCCAGTGAGCTAATATTTGTTTCTAAGTATGAAGATGCCGTATTTCAAAGGTATTTCATAAAATAAGTATTAGAACAGCCCTAACCATGTAAGTTTAACAGCAGTGTCGAAACAACGCTAGCTCTTTGTCTTCTTTCAAGAAAGAGTTAAAGTCATGCTCAGACTGTCTGAGCCAGACAGTAAGGCAGCTTACTATTTCTACAATCAAGCTAGAGCAAGAAGATAGAATTACCACCAAGAACTTTGGGTACAAATTCATATACAGAAAATAGAGACACTATGAAGAATTGTTCACATCAGAGACTCTACAAATACAGGATTGCTACCTCTTATTGGAATGGGCAAGGTCTAGAAATGGACAGCCCTAAAGGTTTAGAATTTGTGATGGGTAAATCCCAGAAAGAGTGTCAGCCCATGATCAACTCGTAATACAGCCATTGTATTAACACATTTTGATCACTGGTCTCTCCTCAAGGTATAGAGGTAAGTTTGCTTTTGAAATGACTCATGAATCTTCAGGATTAGAAATAAGTTTAAGTGACCAAGGACAGTTTTAAACCAAGGTTCATGGCATGTTATAATTTGGTAGATTGTTCTAGCAGCCTATCAGTTTCAGGGAGGTAGTTTGGGGATGAAACACACACACACATACTGCAATTGTGCTATTGCCCTGGGAAAACAGACCAGTTAAGAAAGTGCAGCTTCTGCTCCCTGGTATAATGTTGCTGCACTAAAGGCTTTTGTTTTGCTTTTGTGCTTTAACAAAATTTATATAGCTTTCCAAAAATTTATAACAACTTTTTAAAAAGATTTTATTCATTTATTTTTAGAGAGAGGGGAAGGGAGGGAGAAAGAGAGGGAAAGGAACATAGATGTGAGAGAAAAACATCAACGGGTAGTCTCTTGTACATGCCGGAATGGGGACCAAACCCACAACCCAGGCATGTGCCCTGACCTGGAATCAAACTGGTGACCTTTAGCCCAACCAACTGAGCCACATCAGTCAGGGCTAGAACAACTTTTTTGAGACATAATTTACATAACATACAATTTATCCATTTAAAGTGTACAACTCAATGCTGTTTAACATAGCCAGCAAATTGTACAACCATAATCACAAATCAATTTTAGAACCTTCTTTGTCATTCCATAAAGAAACCCCATACCCATTAGAAGTCACCTCCATTTCACCCCAACCCACCCAGCCCTAGACAACCACTAATCTACCTTCTGTCTCATAGATTTGCCTATTCTAGACATTTCATATGAATGGAATCATGCAATATGTGACTCGCTGTGACTGGCTTCTTTCACTTAGCATGATGTTTTCAAGGATCATCTGTGTTGTAACATGTATTAGTATTTCATTTCTTTTTATATCCAAACAATATTTCTCTATATGGATATACAAAGTTTTGTTTATCTGTTCATTAGTTGATGGATATTTGGGTTGTCTCTACTTTTTGGTTATTGGGAATAGTGTTGCTATGGACATTTGTGTACAAGTTTTTGTGTGGAACCGTGATTTCAATTCCTCTTGTGTATATATACCTAGGAGTGGAAGTGCTGGGTCATATGGTAATTCTGTTTAACCTTTTAAGGAACTGTCACACTGTTTTTCCAAAGGCTTAGTAAGAGAGTTGTATAGTGTTTTTGGCTTTGCCATTTCTTGATTTCCCAGGATCATACCCTGTATTATAACTTTGTCTAATTCTTCACCTTAGAAGATTTTTAAAGCAAAATTGACCAGGTGATCTGATTTTAATGATGAAATGTCAGTGGGCTCCTCCTACTTTTGTTGGCAATGGCTTTATTGTTCCCATGTGCATTCCAAGAGCATTTCATTTGAAGACATGTCTGGATATTTGAAGTTCCAAGCCTTATCAATTGACTAGTTATTTGTAACCTGTCAAAATTTGCTGACTTGTTTCCTTGAAAACCATTACTTTAGCTGTTGAATTATTAACACTTATCGATTTTGTAACTGCCGAACTAGGATAGTCACCTTTAAAGTCTGTATCTGTAAATAAAATAGAACAATATCCAAGAGTCTTTGTATCCAAGAGTTTTTCAAAAGCTTCTTGAGAACGGAAAACACTCTGGCCAGATAGAATTCTGAGGATGTTGTTAAGGAAAGAATCAACTTGAAATAGTACAAAGAAGCAGTCAACAAAAGCTACTTCCATTAGAGAACAAAAACCTAATGAATCTAGAAGAGAAACGAGATATTATCTAGTCCACTAATGGGCAAACCAAAGCCCAAAATCTAATTTCAGAGTGAAAGATTAAAAAGCTGCCACTGCGTTGTTACTTCTTAATAAAAAGAGAAAAGACTATAACTATTTTTATTTTTCCTGAATTGGCCCTTATTTCCTTTTAAAGTTGCTCACCATTAATGCTATTCAAAAAAATTTTTTTCATTTCACAGATTCAAAAATTAAGGCTTAGAGAGATAAATTAGCTCCTTTAAGTCACATAACTAACCTGTTCCCAGGTCTCGCGATTCTTAGCAGAGAGCAGTCCCCTCTGTGCCTGTCTCCTGCGTTTGCCTGGGCTGCTATGTGGACATGAAGCTATTGAAACAGAAGCAAGAGACCTAAGTAAACACTGAACCCGCTCATTTGAACTAGATCCAGGGTTTGTTAACCAAATTAAAGCCACAGCTAGAATAACTGTGTTCAAGGTGGCCTGTTCCTAATTATGTGCTCTTCTCTTCCTTTGCTTTCATAAGTCTTTCCAGAGCAGAAATGTAACTACAACATGATGTTCTTATGGGATTTTTTTTTTTTGTTTCTGTTTTTTGTTTTTAGCATGAGGGTAGTTCTGCAGCCAGCAAACGGCGAGTGCTTTCCTTTATGCCTTCTTCTCTCTGTCGTCTTTTGCTTTTTGTGTTCCGTTGCCTTCAAGTAAGCTCAGTGCAATTCGCAAGTACGAAGGCTGGTAGGACTCCCCTCATTCTGCTCCATCACAGAATTGGGGATCCAGTCCTATGTTAGCTGCATTATTTCTATCCAGAGGCAAAAAGATTGGAAAATGTAATTACTTTCTCATCCATTGTGGTGAACGGTTTGGGACCCCTTGGCAGAGGCACACCTTCCAATTTGATCTTTATGTCCCCAACTTTCATTCTAATCTCTTCCTTCAACACCAGCCCCTTGGCCATGTGCCACTGATCGCTATTGATCCACGCTCGTAATGAACTCAGGTGAACCTGTTGAGAGATCTAATTTGGCTTAATTGATGTGATAACCCAAGGGGCACAAATCAATGTCTTTATTTTGGTCATGCCTTTAGGCTGCCGGCGCCCTCCTAACAGATCCATTTCGGGCCATACAATGACTGCAACGGAATGTCAACGGCATAGTCTTTCCCTACGGCCTCTAGTGAAACCACCATGTCAATGCACCAAAGCCTCCAAAGAGTTCGTTCCTGTGCTTCAGAAGCCTCAGGCGAGGCCCTGGATCCTGACAGGTACCCGAGTTGGTCCAAGAAAAGCTGATTCAGTAGGTCCGGCCTTTGAGGTGGCTCTGCAAGCTTTGTCAGCAGCTTCACTAGTTATACTGGCTGTCAAACAGCTGTCTCCAGAGCGACGTCCTTGCTCGTTTTCTATCTACAGCGTTCTGCACAGCTACACAACGTGCTTTAAGAACTTCCAAAGATCAAATGACCCCAAACATAATGACTGGGGGTGAGTCAGTTCCCCAAGCTGAGCGGGCAGCTGAGCTCACTTCACTTTAAGGCAAATAAAAGACTTGGGGAGGATTCTGCTCACTTGGGGCTCCTCTCCTGAAGGAGTTTAGGA